AAACATATCCTCCGTGTACAACAAAAAACAACAAATAATGCATGCAGAGCAGAATTAGGCCGATACCCACTAATTATCAAAATCCAGAAAAGAGCCATTAAATTCTACAACCTCCTAAAAGGAAGCGATTCCCAATCCTTCCATAACAAAGCCATCACCTACAGAGAGATGAACTTGGAGAAGAGTCCCTTAAGCAAGCTGGTCCTGGGGCTCTGATCACAAACACAAACAGACCCCACAGAGCGCCACGACAGCAACACATTAGACCTAACCAAATCATGAGAAAACAAAAAGATAATTACTTGACACATTGGAAAGAATTAACAAAAAAAAAGCGCAAACTAGAATGCCATTTGGCCCTAAACAGAGAGTACACCGTGGCAGAACACCTGAACACTGTGACTGACCCAAAATTAAGGAAAGCTTTGTCTATGTACAGACTCAGTGAGCATTGCTATTGAGAGAGGCTGCCGTAGGCAGACCTGGCTCTCAAGAGAAGAGGTGGAAACTGAGCTGCACTTCCTAACCTCCTGCCAAATGTATGATCATATTAGAGACACATATTTCCCTCAGATTACACACACCCACAAAGAATTCCAAAACGAATCCAATTTTGATAAACTCCCATATCACAGTGTGCCATCACAGCAGCAAGATTTGTGACCTGTTGCCACAAGAAAAGGGCAACCAGTGAAGAACAAACACCATTGTAAATACAACCCATATTTATGTTTATTTATTTTTCCTTTTGTACGTTAACTATTTGCACATCATTACAACACTGTATATAACCATAACATGAAATTTGAAATGTCTCTATTAATTTTTTTTATTGTTTATTTAACTTTTGTTTATTATCTATTTCACTTGCTTTGGCAATGTAAACATATGTTTCCCATGGCAATAAAGCCCTTTGAATTGAATTGAATTGAGAGAGCGAGAGAACATAAATTCAGCCTAATCTGATACTGGGCACATTCCCTGCCCTGAATAGAGCTCCTTGTTCACTATTTATTGAACAAGTAAAATAACCTCTCTGATTATTTTCCTTTTTATCCCCCTCCCCTTTCCCTCTCTTCCGTTATTCATCCATGGAGCCCATTAGTGATCGGGGGGACTGTGCTGCTGCCAAGCCCAGGCCAGAGGCCCGACCGTGGGGAAAGGAGGTGAACAGGCTCCCTGCTCTGGTCTGGACTCTGGAGGTCTCTCTATCGCCATGGTTCCGCAGTGCTAAAGAACCCCGGACCCACAGGCCAAACACTACACTACCTCTCCAACACTCCTTAAATTATGCTTTCATGTTTGATTTCTCTCTCTCTGCCAGAGAGCCACCCAGGAATACTTGCAAGTGCAAGGCAGGCACTTCTACTGCCGAGGGAGGTGTGTGTGGGTGGGTTGTGTTATCGAGGTGTATGTGCGGTGGGGGACTGTTCTAAGCGAGCCATAAGATCTCAGCACTTCAGCTCTACAGGGATTTATTAGACTGGGGAGTGCATTAGCATCATAAAGACCTGGGAGAATGGGGCTTTGGATGGACGACGAACGCCTGCCACACACACTATGGAGAGTGTGTGTGTGTGTGGGGTGAGGGGGGGGGGGATTTCCCTGATTTAAGCCCAGAAAGGTTGTTTAACGGCAGGTATGGATCACCCCATGGAAGCACTGGACCTAATGAATCAGGAGAGGGAGGATGGTGGTGAGACCACCTACTGCACTGACTGGTGACCACTCTAATGAACACACACACACTAGGAAAGCTACCACACACACTCAATGACAATGCTGAAGACAACTCTACACACACAGACATGCACCCATACACACCCACAACCTCCTCAAGGTTTTACAATATTCTTGTGACCCACCCACCTTTTACCAGACAACATTCTTTATGATCCATTTTCTTCCCTGTGACCCACGGAATGGGTCATGACATTGTAGGTTCCAACCCACTCAATGGAAATGTTGGATTATCACACTATCAACTGGACGGCTCATAATGATGGCTGGAATGGAGTCAATGGAGTGGTATCAACCACATGGAAACCACGTCTTTGATTTACTTGATACCATTCCAGCCATTATTACGAGCCATCCTCCCCTCAGCAGCCTCCACTGGTGTGTGTACTAAAATATAAAGTATATAGACTCACCCAGATTTGGGAGGCATGATGGATCAGAGTTTTGACAGAGGACAGATGGACCACACCATGTGCTGAGGAGAGAGGGGGGTGTTGAGGGGGTTGGTGGGGGAAACCACATGGCTCACAACTAAAGAGAACACGAGGCCCAATAATAACTACAGACAAAACATTGGCCCCAACTCTAACTCAGAACTCTAAACTCCCAGGCAAAGTTTTACAAATACAAACCCATTGACATTGATGGATTTTCACAAATACACACACCTCAACCGTAATATTGGCATTCCTAATACATTGTGGTTGTTGGCTATTTTATACTGAGACCTAGACAAACCAAAGATTACAGGACCTATTCAATCTTTCCTTCTCTCTGTCACAATTTTTCTTTGGTGTTTTCAGATAAATAAATCATTATTGTAAAGCTGTACCTGTGTTGCTGTGTGTGTATGCATTGAGAGACGTGGAAAGAGAGCCATCGTGAAATTACAGCCTCCTCCCTTCCTGCCTTCCCTCCCTCCTCGTCATATTTTAAGCCCTTTCTGCCCTAATAAAATGGTATTTAAAAATAGGTTAATTGCATTGCAGCTCTATTCCTGTGATTGTTATGGAGTATAATGAGCTGAGAGCTGTAGAGAGAGAGAGAGAGAGAGATAGAGAGAGAGAGAGAGAGATTTGACTATGTACAGAACTCAGTGAGCTAGCCTTGCTATTGAGAAAGGCCGCCGTAGGCAGACCTGCTCTCAAGAGAAGACAGGCTATGTGCACACTGCCACAAAAATGAGGTGGAAACTGGGCTGCACTTCCAAACCTCCTGCCAAATGTATGACCATATTAGAGACACATATTTCCCTCAGATTACAGCGATCCACAAAGAATTCGAAAAACAAACCCAATTTTGATAAACTCCCTTATCTACTGGGTGAAAAAACCACAGGGTGCCATCACAGCTGCAAGATTTGTGACTGTTGCCACAAGAAAAGGGCAACCAGTGAAGACAAACACCATGTAAATACAACCCATATGTTATGTTTATTTATTTCCCATTTGTACTTTAAACTATTTGCACATTGTTACAAACGCTGTATATATACATAATATGACATTTGAAATGTCTTTATTCTTTTGAAACTTTCTGAGTGTACATGTTTACTGTTAATATTTATTGTTTATTTCACTTTTGTTTACTATCTACTTCACTTGCTGACACACTTTCCCTGCAATAAGCCTAATTAATGAGAGAGAGGGATAGAGAGTGAGGAGAGAGAGAGGCAGAGACGAGAGAGAGAGAGAGAGAAAGAGAGAGCGATAGATGAGAATATATAGATGTTGGAGATTTGGTAAAGAAGAGAGCTTTTCCGGTTTTTTTCTGTTTATTCCTCCTTCCACAAAAAGTGAGAGAGAGAGAGAGAGAGAGAGAGGACTGGGCTGTCAGGTGGGTCTCTGACACTCCCTGGTGGAATAAAATAGGAACCGCAGTGTTGGTATCAGGACTAACAGTATGATGAAGTTGTTCCAAGACACTGACCACACTCTGTGATACACTACACACCACTCTTCATCTGTATGCATCTCACAGAAACATCACACAAACACTAAAGAAACATTCCGAGAGCGCGGGTGGATTTTGGTAAAACATTTTATATCCAAAGCAAAACCAGAATGCCAGTTTCCCCTGACCAGTCGGCCAGAATCAGTGGAATACAGTGACATGGGGAGGGGGACAGCCACAGAGGGGACAACACACCACATTATCTGCAGACAAGCTCTTTAAAATGTTGGCTGGACAATATACACAAAAGTAAAACAATCTATTACAAACATTGGAGCAGGGTAAAGGCGAACTCTGGCAGACAGAGAGGAGGTCAGGTTTGTTCAAGGCTATGCCAACGCTATGGCAACGGAACTCCTCGATGGTAGTTCTGAGTCCATCAGAAGGAAGTAGTCTAAATGGAAACCAAAGTTGGGGTCAAAAGAGGCACCATGAATGAAAATACCCGGCTCTTGTGATGCCTGGGTTTGGCTTGGTACCAGTACAGGCCATCTTCACATTCACAAAAATCGCAATTAAAACTTAATAAAATCAAATAAATCACCTCTCAACTTAGTCTCTGGCTCCAATTTCTATAGGTTAAAAAATAGAAACAATCCCAATCAATATAAAAATGACATCATACTGTAAATGTACATGATCTTCTCATTTCTTCAAAGCCTGGTGAAATTTGAATAATTCTTTACACAAAGAGAAGTATAGAATATGTCTCCCCACTGGTCGTACACTGTCACGCAAGTGGCTTAAATACTGTCACTTTTAAATGGCTCTTAGAGAAAAAGGTACTTTAGGAATAAAATAAAAAGGACAAATACAAATAAAATACATTTTAAGTGGCTTAGTGGCATAAAACTGAAAATTTGTTCATGTACAAAGTCAATGAAATAATATAGGTTCCAGTGCTTTGGGAGATAAAATAAAACAACATACTATAATAAAGAATACAAACCAATACCTTTTAAATCATCACCATGTCTTCCTTTTTTCTGCACTGATCATAAGCCATATCAAATCCAAGAACTGCCCCCAGTCCCTCACCCAAATCTGGAAGTCATTTGTTTACCTGTAGTTTATTTATGTATTGTACGGCCGTAGTTTGGTTTCTACAGAGTTGATTTGGTTTATACCTGGTGAGTGTGTGTATTTTAACCTGGTTGACCCAAAGCTGGCAGTTCTACAAGCACAGACTGGGTGAGGTACTGAAGTCTTGATCAAAGTCTTGATTTGAACACAGCCTCAAGGCACACTGCTGTGTGTGTGTTACAGTGGAGACTACGACATTACTGGGTTATCTGAGCCAATCTCTATGACTGCTCCTCCCTCTCCTAACCATACAGTACAACATACTAAAACACAACCCTCTCCTTCCCTCTCCCCACTCCACACTCTCCATCTCCATCTCAGCCAGAGAGAGTGGGGCTTCAGGTGGCTAACACAAGGCACATTGGCAGGTTTGGGTCAGGGCTACAGAAGATCCTGAGTTGCTACATAGTGGCACTACTTATAACCCTGTGGAGCTACATTTCACCCTAAGTTGCTACAGAACCCCCTGCATCGCTACAACACCTCACAATCAGGGCCAAACCATCTCTCCTCAACGTTCAGAGTTCACACTGGGGCCAGAGGTCATGGAGTAGACTTGGCAGTACCCTAAAGGCTAAAGGTCATAGGTCACACAGGAGATGGCAGTAGCTTGCAGACTAAAGGTCATGGCAGTGTGTTTTACAAAGTAAGGGGTCTAGGACTGTGTGTCACACTGTGTCTCAAACCTTTGTCAGTGCCTCACATATTTCCCTTCAAATAACAGGGGCCCTTCTGTGTTAGAGTGAACTAGAAGCTGTCTGTGCTGTGTGTGTGTGTGTGTGTGTGTGTGTAATAGATTGTTTATCATTCAGAGGTGCTCTGATATTTACAGTGGTAGGACACAATTATTTCAATCCGAAACGTGGATTTCATTTCTCATATTGCTGTTGAATGTGTATCTATGCGAGTGCTAAGAAAGGGTGTGCATCTATGAGAATGTCGAGTGTGTGTGTGTAAGTGTGAGTACAGTATCTGTGTGTGTGTGAGGGAGTTTGGAGTGCAAATGTATGCTGGCAGGGTTGTTGAACAGAGCATAAGCATATCACGGTATATCACTGCTCTGGGTGTATGTCCAGTGTGTGTACTTTGTGTACCATATGTGTGTGTGTATACTATGTGTGTGGTTCTACAGTGTGTATGTGTGTGTGTGTATACTCCTTCTACAGTATATCTGCATCCTCTATGCTGAAGCTGGATCTGCGGCTGGAGTCGACCGAGGCCTCAGGGGACATGGCAGAGAGCAGGGGGTCTCCACCCAGAGGAGACAGGGGCTCGTCCATCATCAAGAAGCCCAGCTCGCCTCTCCTTCCCTGGGTACCCAGGCCGCCCAGCTCCCCTAGCCCCGACAGGCCCTCCGGGAAGCCAGGCACCCCGTCACACAAGTCCAGCGACTGGGCAAAGTCAAAGGGCTGGGAACTGCCCACGGCTGGGTACTGGAGGGGAAGCTGTGGCTGGAGGTGAGGGGGGAGAGGGGGCAGCTGCATGGGCTGGCCCTGCTGGGGCTGGAGATGGTGGGACTGGGGGTGGGGGAGGTGTTGCTGGCCCTGGGCCTGAGCCTGGTGCTGGTGCTGTGCCTGCTGCTGGTGGAGCTTCTCCTCAGGGCTGGTTTCCTGTTTGACGTAGGAACCCATCAGGTCACCAGAACCCATCCCAGAGGGAGAGGAGCTGGGGAGGCCGTGCAGACGAGCCTGCATCTCTAACTCCTACACACAGACAGAGCAGGGAGAAAGCGAGAGAGATGATGAACTGTATGGCACAGCATTCTAAAGCTCATACATGCTCTTTAATGTGTGTACTGTATGCGTGTGTGACAGAGTGTGTGTTGCACAAATGAATGTGTGTGTGCGTTACCTGGATGCGCAGCCACAGCTGTTTGTTGGCCATCTCCATCCTCTTGAAGTTGTTCTCCACCTCTCTGGTCCTCTGCATGTCCTTCTGCATCCGCTTGATGTACTCTACTGATGCCCTCAGAATAGTGCCCTTATTCCAGCGCACGTCCCTATAGAACATTACAGAAGAACACCTTTAGAAGTATCTCATTTGTTTCTGATGACCATAGTTTAGTTGCACATAGGCAAACAAGAAGAAGCCCACGTAAGTATACATCTTCTGCTAACACGGATACAAAAAGCAACATACCACTTAGACATTGAAGAACAAATAACAACACACAGTGAAGCGAGGTGACTTACAGGTCATTGGTTTTGGGGATCATACCGCCCAGCTCTTTAATCCGGTCGTTGATGTTGAACCTCCTCCTTCTCTCAACTAAACCATAGGAAAAGAGGCAACAATGAGAGGAGAGGAGAACATGGGAAAATGTGTTGCAACAATGGCATTCGGAATTTCATGTGAGGCAGTCCACCTTCGACAACCCAAGAACATGAACACAAATGCATGCACGTACGCAGGCACACACTGAGGTGACTTTATACTCTGGCTGTTATTGCTGGCTTTGTGCAGCATAGCCATAATAAAGAGTTATAGTGTAAATGAGTAGATGAGTGTTTGTCAGATTGGAGGTTATAAACAGACAGATACAGAGAGAGAGAGAGAGAGAGAGAGAGAGAGGAGAGAGAGAGGAGAGAGAGAGAAGAGAGAGAGAGACGGAGAGGAGAGAGAGACGAGAGAGAGAGAGAGGAGATTAAGATAGAGAGGATACAGAGAGATACAGAGAGAGAGAGATACAGACAGAGAGAGATACAGAGAGAGATAGATACATACAGAGAGAGATACAGAGAGAGAGATAGAGAGAGAGATGTACAGCGAGATACAGAGAGATACAGACAGAGAGAGAGATACAGAGAGCGAGTGTGAGAGAGAGAGATACAGAGAGCAAGAGAGAGAGACACAGAGAGAAAGAGAGACAGATACAGAGAGCGAGAGAGAGAGAGCGAGAGATACAGAGAGCGAGCGAGAGATGCAGAGAGAGAGGAGAGATGCAGAGAGAGAGATACAGAGAGAGAGCGAGAAAGAGAGCGAGAGAGAGAGCGAGAGAGAGCGATCATTGTTGTTTATTTTACTTTTATTTATTATCTATTTCACTTGCTTTGGCAACGTAAACATTGAAATCGAGATACAGAGAGAGATACAGAGATAGAGAGCGATACAGAGATCGAGAGAGATACAGAGCAAGAGAGAGAGAGAGAGAGAGAAAAAAAGAGAAAGACAGAGTGAGGTCTGGGGTCCGCTCACCAACCAAGAATTCACAAAATGGGACACACACCAAATTGAGACTCTGCATGCAGAATTCTGCAAAAATATCCTCAGTGTACAACGAAAAACGACAAATAATGCATGCAGAGCAGAATTAGGCCGATACCCACTAATTATCAAAATCCAGAAAAGAGCCGTTAAATTCTATAACCACTTAAAAGGAAGCGATTCCCAAACCTTCCATAACAAAGCCATCACCTACAGAGAGATGATCTTGGAGAAGAGTCCCCTAAGCAAGCTGGTCCTGGGGCTCTGATCACAAACACAAACAGACCCCACAGAGCCCCAGGACAACTACACAATTAGACCCAACCAAATCATGAGAAAACAAAAAGAGAATTACTTGACACATTGGAAAGAATTAACAAAAAAACTGCGCAAACTAGAATGCTATTTGGCCCTAAACAGAGAGTACACAGTGGCAGAATACTTGACCACTGTGACTGACCCAAACGTAAGGAAATCTTTGACTATGTACAGGCTCAGTGAGCATAGCCTTGCTATTGAGAAAGGCCACCGTAGGCAGACCTGGCTCTCAAGAGAAGACAGGCTATATGCACACTGCCCACAAAATGAAGTGGAAACTGAGCTGCACTTCCTAACCTCCTGCCAAATGTATGACCATATTAGAGATACATATTTCCCTCAGATTACACAGATCCAAAGAATTTGAAAACGAACCCAATTTTGATAAACTCCCATATCTATTACAGTGGGGAGAACAAGTATTTGATACACTGCCGATTTTGCAGGTTTTCCTACTTACAAAGCATATAGAGGTCTGTCATTTTTATCATAGGTACACTTCAACTGTGAGAGACGGAATCTAAAACAAAAATCCAGAAAATCACATTGTATGATTTTTAAGTAATTAGTTGGCATTTTATTGCATGACATAAGTATTTGATCACCTACCAACCAGTAAGAATTCCAGCTCTCACAGACCTGTTAGTTTTTCTTTAAGAAGCCCTCCTGTTCTCCACTCATTACCTGTATTAACTGCACCTGTTTGAACTCATTACCTGTATAAAAGACACCTGTCCACACACTCAATCAAACAGACTCCAACCTCTCCACAATGGCCAAGACCAGAGAGCTGTGTAAGGACATCAGGGATAAAGTTGTAGACCTGCACAAGGCTGGGATGGGCTATAGGACAATAAGCAAGCAGCTTGGTGAGAAGGCAACAACTGTTGGCGCAATTATTAGAAAATGGAAGAAGTTCAAGATGACGGTCAATCACCCTCTGTCTGGGGCTCCATGCAAGATCTCACCTCGTGGGGCATCAATGATCATGAGGAAGGTGAGGGATCAGGCCAGAACTACACGGCAGGACCTGGTCAATGACCTGAAGAGAGCTGGGACCACAGTCTCAAAGAAAACCATTAGTAACACACTACGCCGTCATGGATTAAAATCCTGCAGCGCACGCAAGGTCCCCCTGCTCAAGCCAGCGCATGTCCAGGCCCGTCTGAAGTTTGCCAATGACTATCTGGATGATCCAGAGGAGGAATGGGAGAAGGTCATGTGGTCTGATGAGACAAAAATATAGCTTTTTGGTCTAAACTCCACTCGCCGTGTTTGGAGGAAAAAGAAGGATGAGTACAACCCCAAGAACACCATCCCAACCGTGAAGCATGGAGGTGGAAACATCATTCTTTGGGGATGCTTTTCTGCAAAGGGGACAGGACGACTGCACCGTATTGAGGGGAGGATGGATGGGGCCATGTATCGCGAGATCTTGGCCAACAACCTCCTTCCCTCAGTAAGAGCATTGAAGATGGGTCGTGGCTGGGTCTTCCAGCATGACAACGACCCGAAACACACAGCCAGGGCAACTAAGGAGTGGCTCCGTAAGAAGCATCTCAAGGTCCTGGAGTGGCCTAGCCAGTCTCCAGACCTGAACCCAATAGAACATCTTTGGAGGGAGCTGAAAGTCTGTATTGCCCAGCGACAGCCCCGAAACCTGAAGGATCTGGAGAAGGTCTGTATGGAGGAGTGGGACAAAATCCCTGCTGCAGTGTGTGAAAACCTGGTCAAGACCTACAGGAAACGTATGATCTCTGTAATTGCAAACAAATATTTCTGTACCAAATATTAAGTTCTGCTTTTCTGATTTATTAAATACTTATGTCATGCAATAAAATGCAAATTAATTACTTAAAAATCATACAATGTGATTTTCTGGATTTCACAGTTGAAGTGTACCTATGATAAATATTACCGACCTCTACATGCTTTGTAAGTAGGCAAACCTGCAAAATCGGCAGTGTATCAAATACTTGTTCTCCCCACTGTAGGTGAAATACCACAGTGTGCCATCACAGCAGAAAGATGTGTGACCTGTTGCCACAAGAAAAGGGCAACCAGTGAAGAACAAACACCATTGTAAATACACCCATATTTATGTTTATTTATTTTCCCATTTGTACATGAACTATTTGCACATTGTTACAACACTGTATATATACATAATATGACATTTGAAATGTAATGATCCTGGGTGACAGCCAGGCGACTAGAGGGAGGAAAGGACAGTAGCATTCCTGCAGCTTATTGTGTCCCGCAAACTACTACTACTCACACACACACACACACACACACACTCACACTACACATATACACCCTAAAAAACAAGTGTGACAGGCAATTAGACTTTAGTGCCAGAGCAGCAGAAAGCTGTGGGTTAACCATCCACCTTGTGGGTTGTCCTGTATCAGCTGAATTACCACTGTGTGTGTGTGTGTGTGTGTGTGTGTGTGTGTGTGTGTGTGTGTGTGTGTGTGTGTGTGTGTGTGTGTGTGTGTGATTGAGAGAAAGACAGAAAGAGATAGAGAGAGAGGCGTACTTTAAACAGAGAGATAGTAAAAAGGAGAGGGATGTTGAAAAAGTGCAAACTCATTCATATTGTGTTTTTGCAAGGGAGAAAGATAGGGAGGGAGAGAGAGAGAGAGGCAGAGAGAGAGAGAGAGAGGGGGGGGAGGGGTCAGAATAAACTCACTCAGGTTGTGGTTGTCTTTCTTCTGTCTCTCCTTGGCCATCGCACGGGCTTCTGCATCTTGACAAAAACAACAAGCAATGAACTAACACTGTCCCCACCCAACACATCAACACTAAAAACTATCGTCTGTCAAAAAAAACAACGAATAACTGAAGTATAGAATGAGATCCGTGTTCTTGTGGACCAGAGAGGCATGTGTCTGGAGAGAGTGTAGGTGTTAATCCACACTTCTAATACATCTGCTTTTCCCTATGAGACGGTATGTCCTGTGAAACATTACTAAAGGAAACCTGAGCTGATTGATGCAACTCACAGGCTGGCCCTCACAAACACACACGCCAGCGCAAACGGGTGTGAAATGACACATTACAGTACAAATGTGTGTAAAACTCTGTTCCATAACATCTTAACAGTCATGCCATGAACACACTGGGATATTTATGTGGTGCGATCTCCTCTGCCGAGTGTGAAGCATGCATATTTATTTTGGTGTGTTTGTGAAATGTGCATTTTGGATGTGCATGTGTGAAAGAATGTATAGTGAGTGTGACTTCTGTTTACAGTTTGGGGTCATAGAGAGTTTGAAGATCATGGTGGAGGCTCACTTTAACTCACTCAATTTAGGAAATTAATTGAGATTCAGTTCATGCCTGGGATACAGTATTTCCCCCTAACTGTCAATGAGGAGCTAATTTGCTTAATTGAATTCCATCGCAGCAGAAACTAAATTCAATGAACCCGTAGTTTTGAGAAAAATATACCCTGCAGAGGAGGCTGGTAGGATGTGCTGTAGGAGGACGGGCTCATTGTAATGGCTAGAATGGAATAATGGAACGGAGTGAAACGTGGTTTCCATGTTTGATACCGTTCCATTAATTCCATTCCAGCCATTACAATGAGCCCGTCCTCCTATAGCTCCTCCCACCAGCCTCCTCTGATACCCTGGTAACCATGGATTTGGAACTGCTGGTTTCCTTCCTTTCCTCAGCATCTGATTGAGACCTGGGAAACCAGGTGGGAAAACTTGGTAGTAAACCATTTTGGCCTGCAGTTCTCTTTGATTGGTTGCCATTTCTCTGAAAGTTGTAAATGTCTGAGAGCTGTGTGGTTGCTGTGTGTCTAAGCTTGTCTCTGATTGGTTGCCATGGCTGTGCGTGCGGCTGTGATTGGTCCTACCCGTCAGCTCTCGTTTGATGGCCAGGTTGGCAGGGCAGGAGTTGCTGGTCATGGCGATGGTTTGACCGGTCATCCCAGGGCCCGTGTACACGTCCAGGTGACTGCTGGACAGAGGGAGCTGGGGAGAACACACACACATCAGAATGAGCACCGCATAACCTACATTCCACTCTATAATATCAATAACACAGAGGATTTGTCACTAGGGTCACTCTCTTTGTGAGATTGGAATACATGGGAAATAAGAGAATCAATAGATGTTTCCCAGAAGAAATTGAAGGGTTAAGCAGGGGTTATGCATGCTAATACTTCAGATGAAGTATATTCAGTAAATCTCTTACAAATGACTAGTCACTTACTCTCCTATCAAGTTCAATGAAGAATGGGTTCCAACAATGACACCAAGCACATCCTTCAGATGGGGAAATTATAGTTAGATACACTATCCTTACAAGCCATCTTATTTTCAGGGCAGTTTAGACCCCACTTTAACCCCTTGTGGTTGTTTGATAGCCTGATACACAACATAATTCAGGAAACCATGCATGAAACACAACCTTTTTTCTCCATAAACACTGTTTCCTGAGATTGACAGCGCGAGACAGAGCGAGAGACAGAGACAGAGAAAGAGACAGAGAGAAATACATATTTCCCTCAGATTACACAGACCCACAAAGAATTCGAAAACAAATCCAATTTTTATAAACTCCGAAATCTATTGGGTGAAATATCACAGTGTGCCATCATAGCAGCAAGATTTGTGACCTGTTGCCACAAGAAAAGGGCAACCAGTGAAGAACAAACACCGTTGTAAATACAACTCATATTTATGTTGAATTAGTTTCCCTTTTGTACTTTAACTATTTGCACATTGTTACAACACTGTATATAGTGTGTAATGTTTACTGTTCATTTTTTATTACACTTTCGCTTATTATCTATTTCACTTGCTTTGGCAATGTAAACATGTTTCCCATGCCAATAAAGCCCTTTGAATTAAAATGAGAAAGAGAGACAGAGAGAATAGAAGACAGAATGGTGAAGTCGGTGTCTCCTGGGAGTTTATTGGCGTCATATTGTGCGTAACCCTGGTTATCCCTCTGAGCCTGAGGGAACTTTATAAACACACAGTGTTTTACATGTTTAGTGGATGGCTGTAAAGAGCAGATAGCAGAAGATAACAGGCCAATATCACACCTGGAAACTACTGCCTCTAACTACCTCTGCTCTGACAGACACACAATCATTGACTATCGGTCCATCTCTCTTATCATCTCTATAGCTTTATTCTCTCACCATATCTCTAACCCAGCCTCTGTTTGGAAGACTAGCGGTCTCCTCTGTAGAGCTTGTGTAGAGGTTGTTTAGCTGTTACGTAGCAGGCCCTATGGGTTACTACTAGTCAAGCACCCTGTTAAGGGATTTGATGATGAAACGTCCAATAATAAAGAAACACTGGAATTTCACACAAGAGGATGTGGCTGAATATCTCCTTTGCAATACTAATGAGGCTTGACAGATAAGAGAGGTAGATACCTTATCACAGACTACTGAAGAGCAGCCAGGTCTCACACACACATGCACACAGTTAAACCACAGGCTCAAAACAGACCGCTATGTGGACTGAGACCTCCGATCACTCATCAAGCAAACAGATCTACACTGATCAAAAGGAAATTACATCTTCAATAGAGTCTTCCACGCCTTTATCTTAAACCCAGGACATTAAAGTTAAGAGTTAGGTGTAACCCTCTCCTCACCTTGTCCCTTCCTCCTCCCACCCCGTTTCAAACTTCCACACCCTTCCTCTCACCCCGGATGCTTTAGTCTCGAACCCCTCTGACTGTCTCCTATCATACAGCATGACCTGGAACTATCCATTTTTAACAAACTCTCATACACACTCTCAGGTCAGTCATGCCTGGTATTCTCTCGGCGGCGTTCCCAAGCTTTCCTTAAACTCCCAGATTCCACAGATTCCAGGGAGTTTACCGTGATAATCCTGCTCACGGATTAGCAGATGAGTTTAATTCATTAGGGGGAAAACTCAGTGTTTAAGGAAAGTTATCGAGGAAATAACCTCCCAAAGCAGAGAGGAGATTTGTAAAGTAACTAACATTAGTCCTGAGGGATCTCATTATACACATCTCAGCAGAGCACAGGGACCTTGACCAGAGAGAGAGAGAGAGAGAGAGAGAGAGAGAGGGGCGAAGAGGAGATGAGAGGAGAGAGATAGAGAGAGAGAGGAGAGAGAGAGAGAGAGAGAGAGAGAGAGGATAGAGAGAGAGAGAGAGATGGAAGACAGAGGAGAGAGAGAGATCAGATAAAAAGATAGAGAGATACAAGAGACAGATAAGCAGAGAGATACAGAATAGAGATAGAGAGAGAGAGAACAAGAGAGAAAACAGAGAGGAGATACAGAGAGAGAGATACAGAGAGAACAGAGAGAGAGAATCTAGAGAGAGAGATTACAGAGAGAGTAAATGAAGAGAAGAAGATACAGACTATACAGAGAGAGAGAGAACAGCATAACTGTTTAGAGGCCTGTATATTAAGTCAGACTCTACAGAACAAAAAAAACAAGCACATCTTTCTTCGCTGATTTGTTGCACATCTGGTGCAAAATTGTAGCAATGCGATGGGAATACCTTATCACCCTCACCATCAATCCTCCATACAGAGAGCTGAATCCATGCACAGAGCCACTCTATGATACACACACACATTATACCACTGTCCTGGCATTCAAATCACACCGCTCAGTTTAGCTCCTTGAGGGCCAGTCAATAGCCAAATAGCTAAATCTAATCAATGGCTATGATATTGAATATTATGTAATCACACACACAGTCAACACACACACACACAACAAAACACAACACAATACACACAGTACTGAGTGATCAAGAGCCAATCAACTGAACCAGGATCACCAAGAGATAAACCCAGAGAATGCCATACTATTCCACTCAGACACATTGTGCTGAAACACACACAAATACACACACACACACACACACACACACACACACACACACACACACACACACACACACACACACACACAGACACAGCTGGGATAGAGCAGAGAGACAGGGGAGAAGCCAGCAGTGACCTTCACTCTGTCACGCCAGGCAGTTAATGTCCCATGCAGTCTTCTCTCTAACGGCCGAGCGTCTCCCTCACTGGAAGTTTGCCCACAGCGATAGGGCTCAGCTCAACCGCTCCCATATCAACGTGCTGCTTCCTCCCAGCCTCCAGCCTGCAGCACCAGCCCCATTGGCCCGAGGGCAAGACTCATCCCCTAATCAGAGACCCGAGGCTGGGAGTTAGAGCTGACCCGCCCAGCCCCAGCCCTCCAGAGAGGGGGCATGGGGGAGGGGGGCATAACTCACTACTGACCAAGATGGGGGAACAAATACACAAACCTCATATTTCCCAGCCACACACACAAACCAGAGTGCAGACCTCTTACCAGTTGGATCTGTTCCCCATCTATCACCTCCACGACGGCATACGTCTTATTCATCTCCTTCATCCTTTCCTCCTTCTCTGGGCCTGTGCACTCTCCCTCTCCCGCTCTCACACTTACTCACTGACTCGCTCCAGCCCTCCTCAGAGACTAACCAATCTCACCAAATCCCTCTCTCTTCTACCTCTCCGCTATACAGTGAACTTTCCCCTAACTGGACTTTCAGCCTGTTTTTCCCTCTCACAAATTACCCTCATCCCCCATTCCCCTCCTCCTTCTCCTCCACCTCTCCTCCTTCCCTCTTCCTCCCTTTCCAAATGCCTTGTAAACAAGTTGTACTCTAACTGGCGGTGGTTTAATTGTTAATTTGAAGCCATTCCATTAAACACAGAGCTCTGCGCTTCTGCTTGAAGAAAGACGCTCTCGGACCACTGACTTTTTTAGGGCTAGGAATGCCACTCTTTCGAAACCGCAGCACTTCACATCCTTTAAGACAACTGAAGGTTTCCCCTGGGGTGGGAAGGCAGCAGCACCAGACAGCTGATTGAAGCTAATATAGATCAGCAGTTATTCATTAAACATTGAGGAACAAAACAGCCACAGGCCCACTGCCTCCCGGCCAACATCAAATATCAGCCATTTTGAAGTTTGGTAAGCTTCATGCAACAGCAACAACAACAGTAGCAAAACAGCAACAGTAGTTATCAGATAGGACACAAACATACAGAGGAGTCTGTAGCTAAAGATGGAGAGATTCTGATAAACGGAACAAGGAGTCTCTTTCTCCCCTCAGAGCCCAGTCACAGCCTCAGTACTGATGAGTCGGCATAATCACCCCATTGACTCACACAGGGAGGGGAAGACAGGGACCAAAATAGAACAGAGAGGGGTAAGACAGGGGTGAGAGGTGAGAGACTTTTTAGAGAGGTAGATAGGGACAGAGAGGGGTGAGAGAGGGGTAGAGAGGAACAGGGAGAGGCAGAAAGTGGTGAGAGATGAGTAGAGGAAGGTAAAGAGGAGTAAGAAAAGTGCAGAGAGGGTACAGACCTAAAATAGCCCACTGGAAGACTGATCATAAACTATACTGAACCAAAATATAAACGCAACATGTAAAGTGTTGGTCCCATGTTCCATGAGCTGAAATAAAATATACAGGTGTGACGTATCAAGAAGATGATTAAACAGTATGATCCTTACACAGGTGCACCTTGCGCTGGGGACAATAAAAGGCCACTCTAAAATGTGCAGTTTTGTCACACAACACAATGCCACAGATGTCTCAAGTTTTGAGGGAGCGTGCAATTGGCATGCTGACTGCAGGAATGTCCACCAGAGCTGTTACCAGAGAATTGAATGTTCATTTCTCTATCATAAGCCACCTCCAACGTCGTTTTAGAGAATTTGGCAGTACGTCCAACTGGCCTCACAACCACAGACCATGTGTAACCACGGCAGCCCAGGACCTCCACATCTGACTTCTTCACCTGCGGGATTGTCTGAGACCAGCCACCCAGACAGCTGAGGAAACTAAGGAGTATTTCTGTCTGTAATAAAGCTATTTTGTGGGGAGTAACTCATTCTGATTGGCTGGGCCTAGCTCCCCAGTGGGTGGGCCTGGCTCCCAACTGGGTGGGCCTATGCCCTCCCAGGCCCACTCATGGCTGCACCCCTGCCCAGTCATGTGAAATCCATAGATTACGGCCCAATTAATTCATTTCAATTGACTGATTTCCTTATATGAACTGTAACTCAAATCGTTGAAATGGTTGCATGTTGCGTTTATATTTTTGTTCAGTATATTAGTCCTATCTATCCATCTCAACACCCCTTCACCTAATCCACCTAATCTCTTGAATATGCATTTCAACCCAGTTCAAAAGTGTTCAATCCTTGACAATCCCACCCAGGTTGAAAATGACAAATGTGAAAATGCTAACATGTTAGCACTAAGGTGCAAAAACGGTCTATAGGTACATAGTGACTGTATGGTATAATACTTACTGTGTTGGACATCTGAACAGGGTCGATATACTGCTGGATGTCATCATAGCTCGACTGCATGCTGATGATGTCATCGATGACCTCATCCATCTGTGCCAGGAACAAGGAGGGAAAAACTGTTTAAATACTTATGTGTAGTACTTATCTTACATTCATGTACACTTAGACCAGTGATGCCAAATAATATACAGACAGACCAAGGCAGCCATGTTGTGCAAACTGAGTTGATCAACTTCATTATCACGTGAGACATTTCTTCCAGATAAGTACTACACATTGGTGGTGAATGAAGTTCCCTATTTAATATGCAATGCATTAACACTGAAGTGTGAACCAGCTCTATGAAAAAAGGTTGTTAAAATGAATTATGACTTGTACGTGAACAGTTATCATTAACTTTTTATTGACCATCTCTTGCACCTTGCACAGTAAGCTTCTTCAATCCACAGTATGCACCTTGGTCGGACTGCAACATACGGAATGGTCTATGTTTCTCTCTAACAGGACTAGAGCCTCTCAGCTGAGTAGTGTTGGTTAACTGTTCTGGTAACTGAGTTGAGGTTGAGGCTAGTTGAGGTTAACTAACTGTTCTGTTTGCCCGTTGTAGTTGAGGGATGCACTTCTGAACTCTACAGTTGCTGGTCTGCTCAGGTCTGTAGAAGATGCTGGTGAGGGACCACCCATACGTAAAAATGTATGCACACATGACTGTAAGTCGCTTTGGATAAAAGCGTCTGCTAAATGGCATATTATATTATTATTATTATTATATAAGTGAAGTTACATGCGTTGCTACGCCAGTGTGTGTGTGTGTGTGGACCAAAATCTGTGGGGTTCAAAGGGCGTTGCAGTGTGTGCTATCCCCCTGTCATGCGTTAAGCTGTAATTACTTTAGCAAGGCCATAATGGAGCATTTAAAGTGCAATGACAATCAGAGCTAGTTAGCCTCAGTTAGCTAACACAGCGACCTTTGGGTGCACACTGCTGTACAACACCTTTATAGAGCTGGTCCGGAGTCTGTGGATGACATCGAGATCAATAGCCAGTCTTTGCACACACACACACACAAACACAGCAGAGATGGTAGGGTGCAATCCATCATAATGAGGTGCAATGCTGTCATTATGATGCCTTCATAAACTGTAAAGAGAATATAATGTAATCCCTAAGCCCTCTCTTTATACAGGCTGGTAATCAAGTTGTATAGGAGATATTGCAGGGTTATATGTTCAATCCCACACCGTTCTAGGCTTTATGGACCAAGGGAATGTGTCCATGCTTTATGACATGTCTTGTTGAGATCGGGTCAAACCCCCTCAGAAATACAGAACAACACTTTCTCACAGATTATCACAGCTGAGACAGGCTTTTATGTTTGTCTAGACATGAGCTTTAGTACAAGAGCGTGTGCAAGTGTGTGTGTTTGTGTTGAGTGTGAGAGAGTATATCTGTGTTGTGATTGTGTGCATAAGTCGTTTCGCGTTTGCATCGGTGTGTTCATGAACTGTATGTATTCCAGCTGTCTCCAACCCAGTAGCTCTCCAGAATCGTTGGAGATCCCTGTGTGTATGTACTGTGTGTATGGATTGTGAGTGTGTGTGAGTGTGTATGGATTGTATGTGTGCAAGTGTGTGTGTAAGTACCTCGTGTACCTCGTTCTCGTGGCTGGAGCCGATGTTGAGCATGGCCATGGGGCTGTTGGGGGCGCTGTTTCCTGTGATGAGCTGCTCTGTACGGAGCCGGGGGGAGTGGAGAGGAGGGGGGGCCGAGGAAGAGGCCCCCGGGGGGGCCAGGGTGGGGGGAGGGGACGGCTGCACCACTCCTGTTACTGCATGCACCGTCTGCACAGAGAGGTGAGTATGAGAGAGAGAGTGTGTATGTGTTGAAGAAAGAGAGGGAGGGAGAGAGCGAGACAGACAGAAAGACCCAGAATGCGAGGTACCTGCTTGGTGGCATAGGTGGTGGAGAGGTACTCCTTCACCTGTTGTCTCTGGGACTGGCGGATGTGGTAGTCTGTAGGGTTCTCCAGGTGAGTCTGCACCTGAACACACACACACAAGTAACACACCACACCAAGAGATAAACACACAGTTCACATCATAATCAGACAAACTGCTCATCATATCAGACACATATTACTGAATTATCTCTGAACTATGTCAACCGCTTGATTTACCATTGTGTGCTGGTTGTCCATTGGTATGAGCCACAATGCCACAACAGTATGTTGTTCATGGAACCCCAACATTGTTACTGTAATCCTACAGTAGAGCTGTTGTAAAGCCTATAGTCCCCAGGCCTGACCAGGGAGGTAGGGGGTAGTAATAGGGGGTAGAGTAGGGTAGAGTAGAGTAGAATAGGGTAGATTATGGTAGAGTAGAGTAGGGTAGGGTATAGTAGAATAGGGTAGAGTAGAGTATAGTAGAGTATAGGTAGAGTAGGATAGGGTAGAATAGGGTATAGTAGAGTAGGGTAGAGCAGGGTAGATTATGGTAGAGTAGGGTAGAGTATAGTATGGTAGAGTAGGGTAGAGTGGAGTAGGGTAGAGTAGAGTAGGGTAGAGTAGTATAGAGTATGGTAGAGTAGGGTAGAGTAGAGTATGGTACACACTTACTTTGTGTGTGCATGCCTGTGAGTAAGTGTGGGTCTGTTTATTTACAGTTGAAAAACTGTCAGTGACATGTTGATATGGGCCCACAGGGACAAAACAGTAACAGCAGTCAGAGCTATTTGTCATACCTAATGTCTCGCTCTGTCAGAACAAATAAACTCCACATGCACTAAGTGAAAGGAATGACAGGAAGACTGATATAGTCTTCGACCAACAGTTGTCAACAGTAGAGGTGAAGATATAGAGCAGAGACTTCCTCACTACTTGGAGGAAGTTCATTTCTACATGTATGCATAATTCTAAACACCTACCTTCGCCTCCCCCAAAATGTACACACACACACAGTATGAACCCACCACACAGACAGAAACAGAAAGACACTGACAGAAAGACACTGACAAAGAGACAAAATGTACACTCCACTCACACACACTGATAAGAACATTCACTGTCATCTGTGGAATCAGGCAAAATGCCAGATAACCTTTATCTCCTGCTGTCAGTACAGTATCTTAATTCTGTCTGTCATATCTCTCCACACACACACACATAGCGTGCCATGTCATGATGAAGACTGATTCTCCGTCACCCTACCTTGTTGCTGTTCCACCGCATTTTATTCTCAGTGTGTCTTTATCTCTGTATTTCTTTCCCTCTCTGTTTCTTTCTCTCAGTCTTTGCTGTATCCACCTCTATCCAGTCCAGTCCACCTAGCAGAACTGATCCAGCTCTGACCACCTCCACTGCACCCAGGAGGAGCTCAGTGAGGCTGGCTGGCTGGCTGACCCTCAGCAACACGTGAGTGGATTACCCCTTCTCCTAAATCCCCCTCTCTTTCTCTGCCTGAACCTCTCCCCTTTCTCTATCATCTCCAGTATGCATTCTCTTTTCACCTACAGTGCCTTCAGAAAGTATTCACACCCCTTGACTTTTTCCACATTTTGTTGTGTTACAAAGTGGGATTAAAATTGACTGAATTGTCTTTTTTTTTTTGTGATCTACAGAAAATACTCTGTACTGTCAAAGTGGAAGAATAATTGGAGTAAAGTAAAACAGTAATATATCTTGATTAGATAAGTATTCAACCCCCTGAGTCAATACATGTTACAATCACCTTTGCAGCGATTACAGCTGTGAGTCTTTCTGGGTAAGTCTCTAAGAGCTTTCCACACCTGGATTGTGCAACATTTGCACATTATTCTTTTCAAAATTCTTCAAGCTCTGTCAAATTGGTTGTTGATCATTGCTAGACAACCATTTTCAGGTCTTGCCATAGAATTTCAAGCAGATTTAAGTCAAAACTGTAACTCAGCCACTCAGGAACATTCACTGCCTTCTTGGTAAGCAACTCCAGTGTAGATTTGGCCTTGTGTCTTAGGTTATTTTCTTGCGAAAAGGTGAATTAATCTCCCAGTGTCTGTTGGAAAGTAGACTGAACCAGGTTTTCCTCTAGGATTTTGCCAGTGCTTAGCACCATTGTGTTTATTTTCTATCCTGAAAAACCAATTACAAGCATACCCATAACATGATGCAGCAACCACTATGCTTGAAATATGGAGAGTGGTACTCAGTAATGTGTTGTATTGGATTTGCCCCAAACATAACACTATGTATTTAGGACAAAAAGTGAAATTGCTTTGCCACATTTTTTGCAGCATTACTTTAGTGCCTTGTTGCAAACAGGATGCATGTTATGGACTATTTTTATTCTGTACAGGTTTCCTTCTTTTCACTCTGTCAATTAGGTTAGTGTTGTGGAGTAACTACAATGTTGTTGATCCATCCTCAGTTTTCTCCTATCACAGCCACTGTTTTAAAGTTACCATTGGCCTCATGGTGAAATCCCTAAGTGGTTTCCTTCTTCTCCGGAAACTAAGTTAGGAAGGATGCCTGTATCTTCGTAGTGACTGGGTGTATTGATACACCATCCAAAGTGTAATTAATAACTTCACCATGCTCAAAGGGATATTCAGTGTCGTCTTCTTACATTTTTACCCATCTACCAATAGGTGCCCTTCTTTGCGAGGTATTGGAAAACCTCTCTGGTCTTTGTGGTTGAATCTGTTTGAAATTCACTGCTCGACTGAGGGACCTTACAAATAACTGTGTGTGTGGAGTACAGGGATGAGGTAGTCATTCAAAAACCATCTTAAACATCATTATTGCACACAGAGTGAGTCCATGCAAAAGTTAAGGGGTGTGAATACTTTCTGAAGGCACTGTATCATCTCTCCTTCACCATTCTATATCCTCCATTTCCATTTTTGCTTTTCCCTTCTCTATAGTCTCTCTTCATCTCCCCTCTTGGCACGCTGCACTTCTAATGAATTTAAGTTTGTGCTGCTGCTGCAGATCAAACTAAAGTTCCCTTTTAAGTTTTTCCGCCTGAATCTTTCCCTCCCGTCAACCCCGCCTCCCTCTGATGTGGGTGTTGACTGATGTGGGTGTTGAGTGAATGTGCGCAATCCCTGAGGACACAAACACGCATGCGCGCACACACACACACACACTACGCTCTATCTCTCAGTCTTACCTTGAGGACCTCAACAGGCACCTGCATGCTCTGGTAGTGTTGTGGAGCGTTGATTGCAGGGCTGGGTGCAGGGGCAGACATGCGCTGCTGTTGCATGTACTGCAGCGCCGCATTCTGCTGCAGTTGCCGCTCCCGCTGCTCCTCCTGCTGCAACTGGTCTCGCATCAGCTGACAATACATACTTCAATCAGTCAGTCAATACATCAATCAGTCAGTCAGTCAATACATCAATCAGTCAGTCAATACATCAATCAGTCAGTCAGTCAATACATCAATCAGTCAGTCAGTCAATACATCAATCAGTCAGTCAGTCAATACATCAATCAGTTAGTCAGTCAATACATCAATCAGTTAGTCAGTCAATACATCAGTCAGTCAATACATCAATCAGTCAGTCAATACATAAATCAGTTAGTCAGTCAGTCAATACATCAAATCAGTCAGTCAGTACACCAATCAATCAGTCAGTCATTCAGTCAAATACATCAATCAGTCAGTCAATACATGAATGAGACAGTCAGTAAATACATCAGTCATTCAGTCAGTCAATACATCAATCAGTTAGTCAGTCAGTACATCAACCAATCAGTAAGTCAGTCAATACATCAATCAGTCAGTCAATACATAAATCCGTTAGTCAGTCAGTCAATACATCAAATCAGTCAGTCAGTACATCAATCAATCAATCAGTCAGTCAGTCAAATACATCAATCAGTCAGTCAATACATGAATGAGACAGTCAGTAAATACATCAGTCATTCAGTCAGTCAATACATCAATCAGTTAGTCAGTCAGTACATCAACCAATCAGTAAGTCAGTCAATACATCAATCAGTCAGTCAATACATCAAATCAATCAGTCAGTCAGTACATCAATCAATCAGTCAGTCAGTCAAATACATCAATCAGTCAGTCAATACATGAATGAGACAGTCAGTCAGTCAGTCAATAAATACATCAATCAATCAGTCAATTAATACATCTACTGTATACAGTAATATGGTACATCTGTCTGTTAACCAATCAATTAACCAATAAATCAAATCAGTCCAAAATGTGTTTACCTGCAGCCGCAGCCCTATTCGTGAGGCCATGGCTGGGGGGCGAGGGGGGAGGGGGGGGCGAGCCGACGCAGACGCACTGCAGTCCAGCCCGAGAGAGTGAGGAAGCTGAGGGAAGAGGGAGAGAAAAGGTGGTGTTAGAATACTATGTTAGAAAGTCACACAGGTGCATCAGCTGTAAGGCCTCATGTGTCATGCCACTGTGGTCCCCGACGTCACCAACCCAACCATGTCCTTTTACCTTCTAATCATCTCAGTCAGACCTGGAAAACTAGACATTCAAGCACATGTATTACCAACTGATCAATTAGCGAATCAACAAGGATATAATCCACAACCACATCCCTCCAGGTCTGTCTGCACCCCTCTCAGGACACGTGGAACATAAAGTAAATGTACAATACAGTAGACTACAATACATCAGTCTGTTTATGCTGTATTAGCAGGTCATATGATGTCTGGCCAGTACATAAACGATCTAATGAATAACATCACTAAATGTGTCACGGAATCAGCCGAGGCTGCTCCTCCTCCTTGCTCGGGCAGGCTTCGGCGTTCGTCGTCCCCGGACTACTAGCTGCCACCGATCGATGTTTCGACGTTTGTCTAGTGTGTCCTAATTGTTTGCACCTGTTTCCCATTATGTTACATTGTATTCCCTTTTTAAACCCCTGTCTCACGTTTGTTGTTGCTCGGGTGTATGCGTATTGTTCCTCCCTGTTATGGAGGTTTTGTGTTGTATCTTTGGATTTACTGTGCATAGTAACGTTTGTCTGCCAGTAGCTCGGTGTCCTGCGCTTGACTTCGCATTCTTCATACACGTCGCCCTGACAAATTGTTTTCATATCAGACACAGACAATGCCAAATATATTCACTGTCTGTTAACTAGCAGGGGGGACGAGAGGACAACTGGATCCCAGGTCACTCACTATCAGTACTGTCTATGTGTTCACATCATGTAACGTTAAAACATGTGAAAACATAATCAAGTGACTTTATTTAAACCAATGTCACTATGATGAACTACCTTGTCCCTTCGGTGTATGACTAGCACAGTAGCAAGTCTTTCAGCATGATAATACAGTAAGTCTTTAGGTGTCTTTCGAGTAGGTAAGGGCCCTATTAAATCATAGATACCTGGTCTGCAGGATAAGACAAAAACATAATCATATTTACATTTTGAAACTAAAAGGAATCTCAAGCGCATGTTACTTTTAATGCCTTTTCCTCGCTGTGGTTTAGATTGAATAACACTGTGCATTAGGAGGCAGTGGAGGCTGGGTGGGGGGAGGTTTGGGGAGAAGGGAGGGGTAGGGTGGAGGTGTGGGCACATCAGACCAACCCCCTCCAGGCCCAAGCCCTGGGCCGAGGAGCATACCCATGGTTACCATTGGGGAAGTCATGTGGGAGTCATGTGGTCCGGTTGTTGTGTGGAGGTCATGTGAGCAGCCTTTGAGGGGGAACACCCTCACCATCGCCCACCTCCACACCCTTCCTCCCCCACCTCCAACCTACACTTCTCTCACTTTCACACCTTTCAGCAGTGTTAAAACTACTCCCGATATGGTGTTATTCTACTCTCTGGGACTGTTCCTTTCAGCCAAATGAAATGTAAGTCAATGTGAATAAAAGTGCAGCCGTGGCCTGAGAGTCTGTTTCTACCGGTTTTTCCAGATGCAGAATAAGAAGCCATGCCAGAGAGACATCAACCAATCAGAGCAGACTTCTCAACCTTCATCAGATACACAGGCCATATATGGGCATGGAGAGAGAGAAGGGAAAGAGAGAGAGAGAAGCTCATTGTGTGTGAGGTACAATAAGAATGGCAGCTCCTATTGAGAAGGACTGAGGCCGCCTGTTGTCCGCCGTGTACATTTCAGTGCCCGAAGGGCACACACTGCCCGCTTTGTGCCCACTGGCTGGTCCGCACGCACGTACACACAGCGTTTTGACTCCAAGAGCCATCTCTACTACAGCATGGCAGCAAAGCCTCAAACTACACACAGAGAACCAACACTTAACCAGGAACAGCCAAACACAAACTACATCAACTGCCACTACTGCTGCTACTATTAACACTATTATAACATTACTGCTACTATTAACACTACTGCTGCTACTATTATACCACTACAGCTGCTACTATTATACCACTACTGCTGCTACTATTATACCACTACTGCTGCTACTATTATACCACTACTGCTGCTACTATTATACCACTACTGCTGCTACTATTATACCACTACTGCTAATACTGCTACTATTAACAATATTATACCACTACTGCTGCTGCTATTAACACTATTCATGGGTTACACATTGCATCACAATATTACTGTGACTTGAAAACACAATGACATTTCTAAAGAAGGCCAATAATTAGTAGGAAAACCTTGTGCCATCATTTTGATGTCGCCAGATTGACTTTATATGCAGTATAACGTTAGCTAGCTAAGATTGAGGGGAAACCTCTAGATTTTAGCTAACTAATGTTAGCATTGCTAGTTATTTTTGACAAACTTTGCTAGCTAATGACAACATTGCCATCCATCTAAAGTAAATTTGACAACATGATGATGATGGCAAAGTAGTTTCCTACTAAATATGTGCCTACTTTAGCAATGTCATTGCATTCCCAAGGCCCTATAGTGTCATTTAGACGACACAGTCATTAGCCCCCGTTCTACTTTTGAGCATCAATATGGCTGCGGCGTCTTTAGACCGTTGATAACAATGGCAACGACGCGACCGAGTGACGGAGGTGCAACCCATGAATTATACCACTACTGTTACTACTGCTAGAATAACACTATTATACCACTACTGCTGCTAGAATAACACTATTATACCACTACTGCTGCTACTATTAACACTATTATACCACTACTGCTGCTACTATTAACACTATTATACCACTACTGTTGCTACTGCTAGAATAACACTATTATACCACTACTGCTGCTACTGCTAGAATAACACTACTATACTACTACTGCTGCTACTGCTACTATTAACACTATTATACCACTACTGCTGCTACTATTAACACTATTATACCACTACTGCTGCTACTATTAACACTATTATACCACTACTGCTGCTACTATTAACACTATTATACCACTACTGCTGCTACTATTAACACTATTATACCACTACTGCTGCTACTATTAACACTATTATACCACTACTGCTGCTACTATTAACACTATTATACCACTGCTACTGCTACTATTAACACTATTATACCACTACTGCTGCTACTATTAACACTATTATACCACTACTGCTGCTACTATTAACACTATTATACCACTACTGCTACTATTAACACTATTATACCACTACTGCTACTATTAACACTATTATACCACTACTGCTGCTACTGCTACTATAAACACTATTATACCACTACTGCTACTATTAACACTATTATACCACTACTGCTGCTACTATTAACACTATTATACCACTACTGCTGCTACTATTAACACTATTATACCACTACTGCTGCTACTATTAACACTATTATAACCACTACTGCTGCTACTATTAACACTATTATACCACTACTGCTACTATTAACACTATTAACCACTACTGCTGCTACTATTAACACTATTATACCAACTACTGCTGCTACTATTAACACTATTATACACTACTGCTGCTAATATAACACTATTATACCACTACTGCTGCTAATGCTACTATTAACACTATATACACTACTGCTACTATTAACACTATTATACCACTACTGCTAACTATTAACACTATTATACCACTACTGCTACTATTAAACACTATTATACCACTACTGCTACTATTAACACTATTATACCACTACTGCTGCTACTGCTACTATAAACACTATTATACCACTACATGTACTTCTAATTCTATCACATTCACTTCTGCAAATACACTATATTAGAAACATGAACTGACCAAGAAAAACTCCTGTCCACCATTACTACTACCACTACCTACACACTGACGGGCCCTGTGCTCATGCAGGTTCTCTCCTGCAACTCTAGTCTGTCCCATAGCTCTGAAGTACTTATAAGACAATCCTCACATCACTGAACATCCAACTGACACAGACACAATGACTCTGGTTATATTTATAGGCCCTGACGAATTGGGTGATTACATTTTCAAACTCAAATTGGCTTGGCTAGGAATGCCAGCCAGAGAGGGACAAGTGCCTCTGTGTCCACTCCAAAAGTTTAGCTTAGCATGATGTTCTTTCCTGCACATCTTTGTGATCTAGTTGAGCTACATGTTAGCATGCTAATGATTTCAGCACATCTTAATGTAATCTAGCTGGTTTAGTTCAACATGCTAGTCTCCCAGCATGCTAGCTGACTTTCAGAAGCAAACCTTTGCGTGATATGGCTACGTTTATATTAGTTTAATGCTAATGCATGTTAACACTCTCAGCACATACTGTATCATGTTCAGTTCCAAATAGACCCTTTACTCCTACCCCAAGGTAAACGATTGGAAATATGATACGAAAATGGCAAAACTTCTGTCTGGTTGAGCTTCCTCACGGGACACTGGACACCACCTCAGTCAAAGCTCAGTGCTGCCAGTGCATTCTCTCACTCTCACACACACACACACACACACTCTGTTCACGCCCACCATGATGACATAGTTAATGAGGGATACAAAGTATACTGAAAGCAGGCGCTTCCACACAGGTGTGGTTCCTGAGTTAATTAAACAATTAACATCCCATCATGCTCAGGGTGATGTATACAAATTCCCAGTTGGCCATTATTTTGCCTACCATGGCTAGAAGAAGAGATCCCAGTGACTTTGAAAGAGGGATATCAAAGGAGCATAGGGGGTTTAAAGGGAGTGTTTGTGTCTCAGTCACCAGATCAACCCAATTGAACACTTATGGGAGATTCTGGAGAGCGTTTTCCTCCACCCTCAACAAAACACCAACTGGAATTTCTCATGGAAAAATGGTGTCACGTCCCTCCAATAGAGTTCCAGAGACACTTGTAGAATCTATACGAAGGCACATTGAAGCTTTTCTGGCGGCTCATGGTGGGGCCAACGGCCAATAAGACACTTGTTGGTGTTCTTTATTTTGGCAGTAATACATAGATTAATATACTGTACATAGGTAACTCTCTACTTCCCCTCTCCTGTTGCTGGTACACATGGTTTCATTTCCTTCCACATCTCACTTACTGACAAACCGCTACCCGGCAGCGGGTTCTCCCACATGGCCCTCCAGTTGCCTGGCATACACTCGGTTTTGCAGACATTATGACGCGGTTGGTGCACAAAGCAGCCATTGTGTGCCGGGCGCTGTGATGTCACAGTGGCTCGGCTTCAAAGCTCTCTCTCATCAGAGAGTGGGCGGGGACAGACAGGAGGAGGGCAGGGTCAGGGGTTAGAACTGAACTACACTACAGATTAGTCAAACACAAACACACATACGTTTACTCGCTCATATTCATGCTACACTTACGTACTAACATCAATACATGTGCACACAGGCACAAATACCTTACATTGTACAACCATGGGAATTACACATACATTGTACACGCGCAGAGACGTACACACACACGGACACACAAAGACACACACAGACACACAGACAGACAGAACAGAAGCTGGAACATCAGCGCTCAGGTCAGGTTGTTAATGTGTGTGTGTATTTATAGTTCTGGTGGTGCCATAGCCACAAGCTCCTTATAAACAGCCATCCCACAGCAGCCAAATCAGGGCTGCACACACACACACACTTGATTTCACATAGACACCCACACTCCTTATTACAGTCTCTGCCCAGGGCAGCAGCTAAATAAGGGACATGCTTATAACTGGATTGTGGGAATCTGTGCCAGAGAATCAAAAGGCAGCTGTCTATTTCCATGGCAGGGACACAGCAACACTGCAGGAGGAAGAATGGGAGGATAGAAGGACACACACACTCCTGGAGGTACCCATATGAATGGAAGAATGAATATAGACAATAGAAGGACACACACAGCGAGACAACCACACACACGTGCGCACACACACACACACACACAGTGTGACATTGGTACAACAGTCTTCATGGAAGGTTAATACTGTCATGAATAGAAAAATGATATAGATGCTAGCACACAGACACCTGCTTATATTTGAACATATAAAGGAAACCATGATATGATATGATAGGCTGGCTGGGTGGGTGCCAATTCATGATGTGACAAAGTGACAACAACTAACTCATCTTCGTGCACGGCATCAAAACGTGTTTAGATCAATGACAACTGTTTCCGGTCCCATCCTTTGATATTTATTCAATGCTCACAAATACTGTGTAAGATATTTGTATGAATAACACAAGCAAACAGAAGTATGAATGAAATGCTGCATGTTTACCTCACTCAGCATTACGTAGAGCGTGTGTCCATAAATGTGTGTCCAGTACAGAGTCTAGTAAGCTTACTGGAGTCTAATTAGCCCTCCTGCTCTGATGTCATCTCAGCCAGGTTCCAATCAATCAGTACAGAGTGACCCTTCCTGGGAGAGGGGGTTCCAGGATTGTCCAGTAAGGGATGGGCACATGTTTAAAATCTTACAGACTTCTCCCCCAACCCCAACCCCTTCTCACTACCACAAACACACGCATGCACCCACACACAAGCCTTTCCGCTGTGAGATGTCTGCCGGCCCGACCTAAAGCCTAAAATAACTCTCCTCACTTTCTGTTCCCCTTTTGAGGAACACCCTGTTCCCCTGAGCCCTGTGTGTGTTTGTATGTGTGTGTGAGTGTGTAAACGTGTGTGTACGTGGTAGTGGGAAGGGGTGGGGGGAGAGTTCTGTCAGATTTGGAACCTGTGCCAGTCTCCCTTACTTCTGTATGTTGTTTCTCGTGCGTGGGCTTGTGTGGGACACTTGTCACAGAACACAGACCTTTCCACTAGTGTGTCCGTGGTATGCCAGAATACAGCCGGTTCACAGCTGTTACCGGCAGACATACACACCTCAGAGGGAGTGGGGTGTCATGTGTCAGAGTTGCCATGGCGACAGTGTGAGTCCCCTGTTCCTTCTCGTTTGGTCTCACGCACAAAAACAGCTGCATCCGACGACCATGGATACACACCCTAACCGTGATTCTGACTATACACACACACACACACAACTTAACCTTATACTTCTAAATGACAAACACACAGACCCCCAAAACTTCCCCAACTACACACACACCCTAACCCTGCTCCTGTACAGCCACTGACTTTTCTGATCTAGGGTCTGTTTTGATATACTGTAGGTGAAACAAAAACACAGATATTCAGTATAATTGAATACCGACTGTATCTGATTCGCAGGTATTTGAAAACCATTATTTCTCAGTCTGAAGCTTTGGCTGCTGTCTGGTGTCCTTTTTAGGGAAATTTAACTGAATCTTATTTTGGTCACATCAGATGTAGTGTCATCCAACACAAGACACTGCTGTAGGTAGTGAGAAACACACACACACACACACACACACACACACACACACACACACACACCTCACCACCTCCTCCTCTGTGGTTCCCTCCTTTACTGTGAGAGACAGTGTATGGTATATACAGTGGGGGAAAAAAGTATTTAGTCAGCCACCAATTGTGCAAGTTCTCCCACTTAAAAAGATGAGAGAGGCCTGTAATTTTCATCATAGGTACACGTCAACTATGACAGACAAATTGAGGAAAAAAAATCCAGAAAATCACATTGTAGGATTTTTAATGAATTTATTTGCAAATTATGGTGGAAAATAAGTATTTGGTCACCTACAAACAAGCAAGATTTCTGGCTCTCACAGACCTGTAACTTCTTCTTTAAGAGGCTCCTCTGTCCTCCACTCGTTACCTGTATTAATGGCACCTGTTTGAACTTGTTATCAGTATAAAAGACACCTGCCCACAACCTCAAACAGTCACACTCCAAACTCCACTATGGCCAAGACAAAAGAGCTGTCAAAGGACACCAGAAACAAAATTGTAGACCTGCACCAGGCTGGGAAGACTGAATCTGCAATAGGTAAGCAGCTTGGTTTGAAGAAATCAACTGTGGGAGCAATTATTAGGAAATGGAAGACATACAAGACCACTGATAATCTCCCTCGATCTGGGGCTCCACGCAAGATCTCACCCCGTGGGGTCAAAATGATCACAAGAACGGTGAGCAAAAATCCCAAAACCATACGGGGGGACCTAGTGAATGACCTGCAGAGAGCTGGGACCAAAGTAACAAAGCCTACCATCAGTAACACACTACGCCGCCAGGGACTCAAATCCTGCAGTGCCAGACATGTCCCCCTGCTTAAGCCAGTACATGTCCAGGCCCGTCTGAAGTTTGCTAGAGTGCATTTGGATGATCCAGAAGAGGATTGGGAGAATGTCATATGGTCAGATGAAACCAAAATAGAACTTTTTGGTAAAAACTCAACTCGTCGTGTTTGGAGGACAAAGAATGCTTAGTTGCATCCAAAGAACACCATACCTACTGTGAAGCATGGGGGTGGAAACATCATGCTTTGGGGCTGTTTTTCTGCAAAGGGACCAGGACGACTGATCCGTGTAAAGGAAAGAATGAATGGGGCCATGTATCGTGAGATTTTGAGTGAAAACCTCCTTCCATCAGCAAAGGGCATTGAAGATGAAACGTGGCTGGGTCTTTCAGCATGGCAATGATCCCAAACACACCGCCCGGGCAACGAAGGAGTGGCTTCGTAAGAAGCATTTCAAGGTCCTGGAGTGGCCTAGCCAATCTCCAGATCTCAACCCCATAGAAAATCTTTGGAGGGAGTTGAAAGTCCGTGTTGCCCAGCGACAGCCCCAAAACATCACTGCTCTAGAGGAGATCTGCATGGAGGAATGGGCCAAAATACCAGCAACAGTGTGTGAAAACCTTGTGAAGACTTACAGAAAACATTTGACCTGTGTCATTGCCAACAAAGGGTATATAACAAAGTATTGAGAAACTTTTGTTATTTACCAAATACTTATTTTCCACCATAATGTGCAAATAAATTCATTAGAAATCCTACAATGTGATTTTCTGGATTTGTTTTCTCATTTTGTCTGTCATAGTTGACGTGTACCTATGATGAAAATTACAGGCCTCTCTCATCTTTTTAAGTGGGAGAACATGCACAATTGGTGGCTGACTAAATACTTTTTTCCCCCACTGTAGCTGCCACTCACCCTCAGAGCAGATACACCTAATACACTTTAGACACACACCTACCACCATCTGATACCACAGACAGAGCAGGCCTGTATCCACTCCGTAAGTGGAGAGGTGGTTTGAGAAGACTCAACCACAGAGAGTCCAGAGAGGGAGCAGAGAGTTGAGGGGTTTCCCTGCTTCTCTACAGGGACAGGTTAGGAGTCAGGAGTAGGTGAATCCAGGTGACCCCAGGCACAAGTTCCTTTAACATTGACCACTAGCACTTCATACCACAGGACCTGACCAGGAACATCTCAATCTCTCGCCTTCTCTTTTTTTATCCATTATTTAACCAGGGAAGTCACATTCACATTGCATCCCTTTTGTAAATGAGCCCTGGCTTCTCCCCTTCTCTCTGAATACAGTATCTAACACACAGGAACACACAGAGATATAAACATACAGTGAGAAGCAAACACAGTGACACACACAATGTTACCTCTTTGTGAGAAAGTGGTGCTGGGAAAGATGGGGCTGTGCTCCTCTCGCTGCTCTCTACATCTCTGGACACCCTGGAGAGGGTGGGCCGCAAACTACAGACAGAGAGAGAGAGAAACCAATTAGATAAAGCAGTACACATCCAGGTTGTACAGTAGTACATGGTGATTTTACTGTAGTAGAAGGTAGTACATGGTGATTTTACTGTAGTAGAAGGTAGTACATGGTGATATTACAGTAGTAGTAGGTAGTACATGGTGATATTACAGTAGTAGAAGTAACTGTTCTAGTCAGGTGGCCTGGCTTCATAGGCCACTGTGAGGTAACAGGTGGATAGCACACATGCTCAGGCTTATAATAGAAATGACTTTCCAAAACAATTGATGCAATGGACCATGTGGGTGTGTGTGCGTGATGTGATGAGGAGTTTCCATATCGCTTCAATAGTTCTCTAAAGCATTTATCACAACCACAAATATCCCTGAGGAGGGTGTGATTTATGAAGCTGCTCATAAATGATGGCCTAATATGTAAGGTTTCGAAATCCATTTCAGTGAACTAGCAGACATGGACAGATGGAGAAATGACACACACAGACACCAATAACACATTCATCCCTTCATCTCCAGTTCTGTTAGTTTGGAGTCAACAGAACTCTAAAAATAACCCCCCATATCCCACCCCACCCTCCCCAAACCATGAGCTCAGCACATTATTTAATAAGATAGATCTCGAGTCCAAAGTAGCTTCATTTCCTTCATTGGCACTGATCAGAAAGCAGAGGGCAGGCGGAGGACTTTTGCCGCCTTATGCTCTACAAGGAGCGAAGAGGAGGAGCTAAGTATGTAAGTAAGTTACCAGGATGTTGCTTTCACCTGTCCACATCCTTTATGTCAGTGGAAAAGACGAAGCGAGAAAGACACTTTACACTGTAAGGTGCAGTTCTTTTCATTTCCAAATCAGTCTTAGGTAAAGACAAAAGAGCTACATCATCAAAACAACCACATCACAATGTTTCCCTTCCTCATCGCCTTGGATTTCACAACTCCTAAGGTCAGGAGTGAGGCAAGAACTTCCTGTTACACCAGGCCAGGGAAACATCCATATCAACCACAAATCCTAAACAAAGGCTATACACATTCAGGTCCACAGAACTCCTGGTTTTCATCCTGCCCCTCTAATCAGGGACTGATTCAGACCTGGGACCAGCTGGTGAGTGGACTCTCTGGCCTTAAGGTTCCACATTTGAATTCTTATCACTAAGCCAGTATGAGAGAGAAAAGCTGTAGGTTTAGGCATTTACCATAGAAATGACCCACCATGCTATTTCACTTGGAAATACAACAGACACACATAATAGCCCTAATATGTCTCCTGAGTGGTGCAGTGGTCTAAGGCACTGCATCGCAGTGCTAACTGTGCCACTAGATCCTGGTTCGAATCCAGGCTCTGTCGCAGCCGGCCGTGACCGGGAGACTCATGGGCGGCGCACAATTGGCCCAGCGTCATCCAGGGTAGGGGAGGGAATGGCCGGCAGGGATGTAGCTCAGTTGATAGAGCATGGCGTTTGCAACGCCAGGGTTGTGGGTTCGATTCCCACGGGGGGCCAGTATAAAAAAAAATATTATTCACTAACTGTAAGTCGCTCTGGATAAGAGCGTCTGCTAAATGACTAAAATATAAATGTAAAATGTAATACAGGAACAGTATCAGTAGCCAGTGGACACTACCCATTTCGGTATAAGTTACAGAACACAACATTAGGTTTCAAAATAAAAATGTCTCACTGACTACGACAACGAAAGACGCAAGTAACAGTAACAGTTTGGATGTGCATAACTGAGATTTCGCTCCAATCTTAAAAAAACATGATTGTTCCATTATGCATGGCAAGTTATCCATAATACAAGGATATATCTGTGACTCAATGAAGCCAGTCTACTCACCAATCCACCACACAAAGCATGTATTCAAACAACCTATTTTCCCAGTGACAAATTATACCCCATTCCTTGCTCACGGTCCAGTCGCAAATTGCTGATACGGTCAGTAGCACAACCCAAAGCATGAGGAAATCCCAGAGTCCAGTCGTACAGAGACAATCCCACAGCCAGATGGAAACAACCGGCATAACAGGGGAAAGATCACAACACAGGTGATCCTACATCCTTACCAGGGAGAATGACAATCCAACAATCCTCAGGTCAACATACGGTCTGTTACTGTATTCCAGGCACCTCTATCACTACACACCGTTCACACACACACACACACTCAGAGTCCTATGCTAGCCGGGTTGATCTCTTATACAGTCTCTCTGTGGTCTCTGCTCGTGACACCGCGCCTCTCCACTCAAAGAGTCACAGGGACAGGGTTAGTCACAGCGCCTTCCTCCTCAAACCAACTACGTTTCCTCTCCTCCTCCTAAATTAATGCCAGTGTCCAGAATGCCGCTGTCCGAAGGAGGAACAAGGGGGACTCAGTGTCCGGAACCCTTCAGCAGACGCCCCCTGTCAAACACACACACGGAACTCCCACAGAACTCCGCCCCCAAGCTGGGAAATCCATTCCACTTCCCTGTGAGCAAGGCTGAAACACACACAAAAACACAGACGCAAATGCCAAGAAAGAGGGGGCAGCTCCGTCTGATTGAGTCGGGGCCTGACGCCCTCAACTCGCACAGACTCCACTGACACACACACACTTCCACAGCGATAAGGCTCTCTGAGCGATAAGGCTCTCTGAGCGATAAGGCTCTCTGAGCGATAAGGCTCTCTGATAACACACGCAGGTATTACATGTTTATAGTGGTTGGTATCTTCAGCAGAATGGTAGCAGACCATCATGTTGTCTGTTACATGACAGAGTGCTGTTCAAACATGTGAGCAACAACTCCCTCCACTATTAACAATGACCAACTGGAAATGAATGAGGGCATTTTCCATCAGCTACCAGCCTAAGGAATGACATTGCTGAGACCTAAAGGCATGAGTCCAGAGGCAGAACCTAACTTTGCCCAAACCATTTAGAAAAATGCAATAGGTGACCAACCACAACAAATTGAATCACATAAGATTTTAATTTAAATAATAATAATTTTAAAAACATGTCCTTGTGATTATTTTAAGGAAATGTTGGTCCAAAGGGGTTGATACTGGTTGAATGATAGCTAACAAAATAAGTATGTGATATGTGGATAGTAAATTCAGTCAGTCTGTGTCCTTTAACCCCCCCCCCCCCACACACACACACACACACACACACACACATTCCACCTGTACACAGGTAGGAGTTCCTCTCCCATCTGTTCAAAAAAGAGTTTAGCCCCATCTGCTGGTGCAATTCTGCACTCTAGGTAGTATTTGACCGGAACTTCATCAGATTACCCTACTCACAACCCTAAATCATTAGGGGGATTAATTAACATCTGACCCTGTATCAGTGGCTAAGGGCAGCTTCTACCTACTTCCCATTCTGCCCCTTTAACCTATCTGATAGGCTGAACCTCTCAGGGCCTCTACAGAGGAGAAAAGCCCCTTCTTCATGTAGTAGTGATTTTACAGGAAGTGTGAGGTTCCCTTTACCAGAAACCAGGTTGCATAACAACTGACTCACACACGGCGACCCTGTGATTGCCTGGGTCACAGGGTTCATGTTTACAAAAACCACAGTTCATGTGATCAATCAAAGGAACGACCAGACAAAACAAATCAAGACAAAACAAAAACGAACATAGGTTCATTCTCGAAAGGTCATGACATCTTCAATACAACACATTTTCAGGGAACATCAATCAAACAGGATGTACAATTCTGCAAATTCTCTGGGCTGTTATTGTTCAATATTGCCCTTGAGTATTATCAAGCTATGTCTTCTAGTTATATAATATAGTTGTTTATCCTAATGCTTATTGGTTGAAATTGTGATGGCCAAACTATCTCACACCACTGTATGGCTCTGGGGAGCATTGTGGACAGTGCTGTGTGTCGAGCGTATTGATTGGTTGGTCAGTGTGTTTTAGAATGTGGCCTTTGACTAATCAATCAGGATCTGCCACAGGGTGACACAACCACAACAGAGAGATTGAGAAAGAGAGAAAGAAAGACATAAAGAGAGAGAGATTCAGCAGGCTGATTTAGTTTGGCATTTTTTAAGGGGAAGCGTGTTGTGCTTTAAAGGGCCAGCACACCCACTGTGTTCCCTCTTCCACTCATATTCACCTCTCTGCTGGGGTCTCTCCATCCCCAGCCTATGGTTTCCATCCAAACCCCCCTGGATATATTCAAACACATCAGTTTCAGGGGTGTGAGGAGACACAGAACCACACTGAACACTCGTCTCATAGGCTCACTGAAACACTGGGAGGCATGGTTCTCACATTCATATGTGCTAACAAGGCCCTGTTTGCAAACACACTAGGGCACCTTTAATAGCCTGATAAAGCCAGCAGTGTATTTACAGTGTTATTTTGGGCCAAGGGCAGGGCTGGGGCAGGCAGCCTGCTGATTGGCTAGAGCAGCTGCATGCCGGTTGCTGTTGACCAATCCCTAAGCTCCTGTGTGGGAGGGAAGTCTGACCAAGAAAGCCTTGTGCTCCTGACAATGGCCGAGGGAGAGAGGAGGCTGGGCCCACACACATGCACGCGCACACACAAGTTTGTTTTACTATCCACATGGGGACCAAATGCTGAGTGAGAAAGTTAGATACACAAATACTGTATCATACCCCCCAAAAAATGCTAACCTCCCCTGTTATTGTAATGGTGAGAAGTTAGCATGTCTTGTAATCATGGTAGCATCCACAATGTAGAAGTGTTTAGAAACATATTCTATTCTTATTTACAATAAAAGCGACTCTAAAATGACACAATACATTATTTACCATTCATTTCTATTGGGCACAAAATGATCTGAAACACAACCAAAACAAACAGCAAATGCATCCAACAAGTTTGTAGAGTCACAAGCTTGATGGAATCATTGCGTGCTAGGAATATGGGACCAAATACTCAACTTTTGACTACTTTAATACACATAAGTGAATTTGTCCCAATACTTTTGGTCCCCTAAAATGGGGGGACTATGAACGAAAAGT